TGTGTGTGTGTGTGTGTGTGTGTGTGTGTGTGTGTGTGTTGGTTCTGCTTACAGCTCCTTTTTTTTAGACTGCACAGTTTTCATTACCTGACATCCTAAAACCTTTACTCAGTAAAGTGGAACCATAATAAATCCAGTGGTCTCCCAGGGGGTCTCTAGTGCCCATGTCCTGAAGTCACTGTGTGAGAGACGAGGACACCCGGACAGGTCTCAAGTCCACCACAGAGACATAAACACTCGGGGTGCAACGATACAGAAAATTCACGATTCGGTTCGGTTCAATACTTTAGTCTCATGGTTCGATATTTTTTCAGTACAAAAAAGAGAAATAAATGTCCACGCCCTTTTTAACTTGTAATTTATTTAGTTTGAATTGTCTGAAAACAAAACATACCTGGTAAACAATATTCAACTTAATGTGAGAGTTTAGATGTTTTAAATATTTGCTAAAGCTGATCTCAGCTTGGAGAAATAATGTTTAACTCTGACGGAATATGAAATATTCATAAACTCTTCACCTAATTCCACTTTGAGAGACTCAAATTTTTGCTCATGTATTGTGAGTCGTCATCATCATCATATCGTGGCACACCAGAAACACAGCCATGTCTTTGCTCTTATTATTTACTAACCTTTATTTAACCAGGCAAATCCCAATGAGATCACAGATCTCTTTTGCAAGGGAGGCAACCAAATGTGCATGTTTTTTGGTCTGTGGGAGGAACCCCACAGAAACAAGAGGAAAACATGCAAACTTCGCACAAAAAGACCCCAGGTCCGAACCGGGGATCAAACCCAGAAGCTTCTTGCTGTGAGGTATCAGTGCAAACCATAAAGCAACTGTGCTGTTTCATTGTTGACTTGACACAGGTTTTTAGTTGTTAGATGTAGCAGACTTTAGGTAAAACAAACAAAAAAGATGCTCCATGTTCTGGTTTTGATAATCATATTCTGGGCTAGCCCCCATTTTACCAAGTTGGGTTTGGTCTTTCTGACACCGGTTCTTGCCCGAATCCATGCGCACAGTTCTTTTCTCTGCAGTCTTTACTCCATTTTACCTGGAATTTCAAGTAGGGGTGTCCTGATACCAGTTTTTCCTCAAACTGAGTACAAGTACTTAGGTTTGGGTACGGATACCCTAGTTAAAACCTAAACATTACACATGATATATTTCTTTTATTTAGAACAAGGTGGCTCTCCTTTATAGGTCTACAGCTCCTTTGAATGGATCAAATCAAACATACAACATGATACCGGTTCTGAGTATTAGGGCAGTTTGGACTAGTACTTGTAAAAATGCTGGTATCTGGACACCACTAGTTTCAAGGTTGTTGGGGGCTCTATGGTTGTTTGTTCCAAATCTTTCCACTGGTTTATTCTGTATTTCCTGAGTGTTAGGAATATCTGTAAACATGTAGCTGTTAGAAAACTTTTCCTGGATTTTAAATGGACAGGGGTTGGTGTATGAGCATATGTTGGGTGAAGTGTCCCCCCCCGCCATTGTAATTACTTATTTTAAATGAAAAATACTTCTTGCATTTTAGTTCATATCGACTAATCGGTTCAAATTTTTGTTACAGTCACGTTAAGCAAATAGATGAAAACATCAAAATATATTAGTTTCACAGATTATTTTAGTTTCATTGTGATGTAAACCTTGTCAAACGCAGCAAAAAGATACTAAACAGGTTTGAATCAGCAACTAAAACAGCAGTTTTATCTTATAAACTCATTTTCTTTGCCTCAGGATGTGTCTTTGGCTTTCAATTCCCTACTCTTAAAAAATCTCTTTCATGTTTTTGTGCTTTTGCTCTTTCCCACGTTTGCTCTCACACGACCCAGAAGCCTCTCCATCCCCTCTCTTCCTCTCACCTCCCTCTCTACACGAGGCACATGAACAGTTTTCTTTTCCGACATCTTTTCACTTCAGTTTTTTTATATTCAGCCCCAGCACGGCACATCGTCATGCAATTACTCTCCATTAAAAATGGATTAGATTTCACCTTCACAGCCAGACTGCAGAGGGAGAGCTTTAAAATAAAAAGGGGGGATGGAGAAAGATGTTTGAGAACTGAGAAAAAGACAGGACAGGGACTGGAAGATTCAGAGGGTTAGATAATGAGAAAATAGTGTGAACTTTGTTGTCACACTTGTTCAGACTCACAAAAATGGCTTCAGTTCAAGAACTACTCAGTACACCGAGTGTCAGCTCCAAATGGGAACTAAACAAACAAAAAGCGGGCCAGAAGGTCAGACAGAAGTGACGGGGAAAGTTTATGCACATCACGTTGTAAAGGTTAATCAGGAAACGTCCAGAATTTAACCTCTAAGAGACATAAAACTTAACTAATGAATATAAATGCGCTGGTGCTTTAAAGAAAGCATCATCTCAAGTCAAGGACAGTTCTTGACTTTTCTCGATGCCAAAGGGAGCAGATGGTCGAGGTGTACCTGCAGGAGGTGAGGGGGTCTGGGACTCCAGGCTGCCTCCTCTTACACCTGGAGGTTAAGAAGGGTTAAAATTTAATTCGCTCCTACTGTGTTAATGTGTGTGTGGGTATGAATCTCAGATCATCCCTCCCAACTGCACAGTTAGTCTAGACAGCCACTGGTGAGCCGGTCCTCCTTTGATAGAGAAAGATTATCTGTTTAAGACTTGAACAGTATATTTATAGTAGTCTGTCTTATCAGCGTAACATATCTGAGATGTTATTTTAGGGGAAAAAGACCAGGTTCAAACGCATTTAGTCAGTGTTTTTGTTAACGTGAAGCTGATTTGTTACCTTCATTGAAGCCAAACATCTACAGATAGACGACTTTTCTTTTTTGCAGTTAAGCAACAGAAATAAAGAGTTGGCCTGGTGTGTTTTTATTTATAATTACTATATGTGGAAGGCTGAGGTGTGTATTCAGTTAAATGAAAGCCCAACATCTAGTGCTTAGACTCTGGTTCCAAAAAAGCAACATGGCTGCTCCCATAAACCTGGATCTTGTGAGAAAGCAGAAACACTTTGGTTTATCAGAATAAATTTCTGACGGCATGTTAGCAGGATGACATTTGCATCGGTATATGGGATTGACGTTCTTATCGAATGGTCGAAGTCAGTGGTATGCACAGTTTCACTAATCCGTTAATAGCGAATCTAGGTTTCCATTTAGCGTATTAGCTCTTTTTGCAAACTTTGGAAACCGTTAGTGGACCGATTAGCTTCCACTAAGTTAGGTTCCATTAACTTTAAGTTCACAAAAGAATTCACAGCTGTTATGCCATTTATCCCAAACTAAATAAAAACTATCCCCTCTTACAAGCAGTGCTGGACGTGTCAGGCACTGTGTAGCATGTAGCATCTTTAGCAGCTAAACTTCAAACTAAGCGTTAAAAAGAAAGAAAACATTTAACAAGATTTAAATAACCAATACAAACAATGACTGTGTAAAATGCAGAGACAGTATTTGTTGTTTGACTAACTTCAAACAATATTTTTAAAAATACAAATTTGGTGAAAGAAATGCTTTTATTATGAAAGGGTTAAACTGGAAGTAAACATTAGACAGAACTATACCTGGTTTGGATTGGCCAATTTGCCACAAATAACTCCACCCACTTTCAAATTAAACCAGTTGAAAACTTTCAGGTTTTTGTTTGTCTTTAACTGGAAGGAGATGAAGACTGACAGTTCTCGTAGCGGTTAGCGTTAACGCTAGCTAATTTTATCCGTTTAGCTTTAGCAGAGCTAAGATTCTTGTTTAGCAAATTAGTGGTTAGTGAAGCTAACATTTTGGTCGGCTGTGCTCACCACTTGTGGAAGTTGGAGAATATTTCCTGTCTTAAAATGTCTGTGGAGGGATTCTTCTGGTTTTTCATAAATCTCCTGTCCTCTTGGTGCCTGTTTGCTGTGAGTTCAGTCTCAGCTGTGCCTCCTTGTGTTGCTCCCTCGCAGCTTGGAGTACACACTCTCTGGAGAAGAGGCCTTTTAATCTGCTGTGACTCTTTATAGGAGTAGCCAGAACTGCAACTACATCTCTGATGGTCTCCAGGTCTTTTTTCTTCCAAACTCTTTGTTCAGTTAGTTAAATCGACTAACATCCGTCCAACTTCCTTGATCTTGGCTTACAACTTTCTCACAGAAGTCTCCTTGAACTCAAGTATGTCTCGGATGATTTCTGTGGTTACTCGTTTACATAATCACATTAATGACTAAAGCTCTTAATTAGTCTCTTCATCGTTGTTTGGTCTCGTCATCAGGTGGTAAACGTGGTGCTTCTGCACAGAAAACATACATGACTCGGCTCTTATGTAAGAATCTTAAATGTGGATGTTTCACTGCTATCTTTAGCCCTTTATAATCAGTCATCTGGTTACATCGAGAACAAATCAGTCCCATTTGGCTGCTGTCATATCCTGTAACTCTGATTTGCTTTGTGCATTTATTTATTTGATTCTGTGTGACAAATGCCCAAGCTGAGCTGCTAACTTTCACACCCACAGACTCCTGGAATCCTTTCATACTTCATTGTGTGATAAGCAATCAGAGGATTTCAGCTATTTTCTTTAACATCTGCAAGAAAACATTTTTTTTTCCTTGATTGTTTTGACGCGATGACAGGCAGCAGGTTGTTTTAACGAGCCAGCCAGGTGATCGGGAGGGTTTGTGACAGATGTTAGGACCGAGATCCAACTCGACAATCTGGAGGAAGGTGTGTGTGTGTGTACTTGAACGCTCTCGCTCGTCTGTGTGGGCTTGAGCAAATGTGTTTGTAGAGTAATACTCGTGCTCTCTTTCTCTTATTACCTTTGAGAGAACATCTATCCTGTACAACACATCCTCCAGCGCCTTTTCTTCTCACGCCAACACTTTGTCAAATGGTTTAACTTCCAAGCACACAAAAGCACCTTTTCAGGGATGGATTCGTCACCTCTTTCTTGTCTTTAACCTCAGTGTCTAACAGCTCTTTTTTCTTTTTTCCTCCTCCCCCCTTCCAACCCACCATCCCCGCAGACGCCCCGGTGGCAGAGCTCCACGACCTGTTCTGCAAGAAGCTGCAGCAGTGCTGCGTGCTGTTCGATTTCCTGGACTGCGTGGCCGACCTGAAGGGGAAGGAGATCAAACGCGCGGCGCTGAACGAGCTGGTGGAGAGCGTGGCCACGAGCAGAGGCGTCCTCATAGAGCCTCTCTACCCCGAGGCCATAAAAATGGTAGGAAGGGAAGGTCAGAGGTGAAAGGAGCTGAACACTTCACAAAAAAAAAAAAAAAAAAAAAAAAAACCAATGGTCAATTCTCATTTCTTCAAAGTTCAGTTTAAGCAAAAACTAGATGGCCCTCCTATATGAGGAACCGTTTCATTCAAAATTAAATAAATAAAT